GGGAGGAAACATCCCGGGAAATCTCTGCCACGGGCTCCACACCGCACCTGCCCCGGAGTGCGGCCGGGGAAACTGAGGCACGCGGTGTGTCTGGCCCTGTGCTCCCGAGGGATGAGCACGAGGTGCCCAGGCTGGGACTGCCCGTGCCGCGGGGCCCTCACCCTCCCCAGCCCAGCCCCGCGCCAGGACCTGTGCCAGGATCTGTGCCAGGCAGCTGGGGGATGCTGTCACTCACCTGAGCCCACGCAGGGGTGGGATGCGGGGATGGGATGCGGGGATGCTCCCGTCCCACGCAGCTCCTGCCCCTCCGGCTGCCCCGGCAAACTGAGCCCAGAGCCAGGAGCAGCCTCATATGGAGGATGAGGAAGAGGAAGAGCCACCCATTAACCCCTCATCCCGCAGCTCCAGCTCACCTCTGCCAGCTCCCCTTCCCACGGGAGCCCGGCCGGGATTTCGGGATCTGCAGCAGAGAATTTCCCCTCCGAGTCTTTCTGTCCCCGGGACAGGGCGGGTGAGGAACGGGGCAGGGAAACCGCGTCCACAGCAGCAGCTTCTCCTTCTACAGCCACCGCAGGGTGCTGGGGGCAGCTCCGGAGCAGGAGCCCTCCACAATCCCCCTCCCCAGGATCCTGGCCAGGCAGGAAAGGAGGGAAGGTTCTTCTGGCACCGTCCCCGGTGGCGGTGAAAGGGTCAAAGCCAGCCCCGAGCCGGCCGGTTCCTGCCTCTTCCCCCCGGGAAAGGCTGTAAATCGCAGGAAGCCACAATGGGCTGGAGCTTGCCCAGGGGTTATTTTTATCACTGCCCTCTTCCCTTCCCGAGGACCGAGCGCTCCCTCAGGGACAATCCCGGTCCCCTCCATCCCCAGCTCCATCCCGGGGGGCCGCGAACGTGGCACTGGAGCCGAGGGGGAAGGACCGGCTGCACCCCGAGCTCCCGGAGCCCCGGAGAGGGGCAGAGGAAGCCCCCGGTGCTGCCCAGGGAGCCACCAGCCCCCTGCACCCCTCTGGATGGAGAGCTGGGGTCATCCAGACCCCGGCCCGGGCTGACCGCAGGGACCGAGGAGGCTCCAGAGGGGACAAAGCCACGGCATTCGGCCCCAGATCCCGGGGTGAGAGGGGACTGTCCCTGAGCACTTGTGTCCCCACCCCAGTTCCTTCCTGAGGAGCTGCTGCTCCAGAGCCGGTGCCGGGAATGGGGCCCGGGGCTGTTTCCAGCACCTTCCCGGCCGATGGCAGCGGGGCAGGAAGGGCTTGGGGCCAGGATGAAAATGTGCTGACGAAAATGGGGGCTCAAATGGAAGCTGGGCAGGATGAGAAGGGCCAGACTGGAAAAAAATCCCAGTGACAGCAAGGGAGGGACAGATCAGCTCTCTAATGAACCTGGAGAGGAGCAGAGCAGACAACACTTGGGCTCTGTGTGCAGGATGCGGCTGCACTGGAACAAATCTGGTGGAAGACAGGGCATAGGATCGGGCCAAGTGATGGAGAAACCCTTGGCAGCTCCGGGATCTGCCTCTGGATTCCATGGATTCCCTCATGGACCTTAATTTTAACACCAGGCAACGTGAATCACTGCTCATTAGGAAGTGTTTTATTTTCCAGGCTGTTCTGGTAAAGCCATGAGTAAGAGAAATCACCTTTTCCTGGTTCCTGTGGGATGCTCTTCCCAAAAGCCTGGCCCAGTGGTCGCCCTCCTTGGGGCACCTGCCAGGCACTTGCTGTTGAACTGGAATATTTGGACAAGGCAGATTCCTGCTGGGATATAAGAAGGGTTGATTTGAGGGGCCCTTCCTGGTATCAAATTCCCAGGCAGCTCCTGCTTCTCCTGGTGGAGGGGGTTTTATCCCTGTGATTTCTAGGAAGGGATTGATCCCATTTTCAGCCTCCTGTGGATGCACCAGGGGGGTTTTTGGAGTCGTGTGGGTGCTCAGAGTGCCTTGGTTTTATTTAAGGTTACTCAGAGCTCTCAGTGCTCTTCTGTGGGGCTGGAAGGGAGCACAGAGCTGGACAAACAAAACAACCCTGGGTGAAACCCAGCCACAGCTGGGGCAGGCATAGAAACTTCCAGAGTGAGAAAAGGCAGATAAAGTCCCCAAATCCACGAGTCCCAGATCCTCCTCCCACAGCATTTTCCTCTCCTGATGACGCTGCTCCGACAGCTCCAGGTGAGCAGAAGCCACCGTGTCCGGCTGAGTTCTGTCCAGATGAGTTTCTCCTCTCAAAAAATAATTTCAAAAATGATTTGAAATCATTTTTGTGGCTGGTTTAATCCCCACCCCACAGCAGCTCCTCTGACCTGAGCCCCATGAAGCGCTGGAGCGCTGCCCAGGGGAGCTGGGGAGGAGCCAGGGCAGCGCTTTCCTTCGGGAGAGGGCAGGGCTGGAAGGCTTGTTAGACGAGTTTAAAAATATCAAGGGTTCAAACGGGCACGAATAAATGTGAAAGCAGCACCTAACCCCAGGCAGGCACCCGCGTGCTGCTGCAAGTCCCAGCTGGAGCAGCCGGGCCCGGGAGAGGCTCCCGTGGATGTTCCGAGCCCCAAAAAGGGCTCCAAGCTCACGGCAGTGCTGGGACCGCAGGGACAGCCGAGGACAGAAGGAGCTGCTGGGATTGAGGGAAGCAAGACCAGGGTCAGGATGACCTGAACCCACTGCTGCTGTAAAGGATTTTAGGTTGCATCTGGTTCCATCCCAACCCTGAGAGCCAAGGAGCCTCTGACACGGACAAGAACAGCCCAGGCTGGGGCTCCTCTTCCAGCCATGGTGCCCAGCCCATCCTTGGGGCACTTGACACCTCCCTGCTCCTAAAAATGGGGTTTCAGAGTCCCCCAAAACCCTTCCAGAGCTCCTGAGCAGCACCTGCAGCAGCTCAGGCTGGTATTCCCACTGTCCTGCTTCAGAATGAGAACACAGCTGAGGTTGGGCTCTCCCAGCCCAGATGGGCTTAATTATATCCAATATAATATAATTATATCCAATTTCTGCACCAGGGCTGCAGAACTCCCCACCCTCCCTCTGGGCTAAATATATTTGAAGCACAGTATATATATATTTATAATATATAAATATATATATATTTATATATTATAAATATATATGTATGTGTATATATAGGTTTATTTTTCTTTGTTTTGTGGGGAAGGAATTCAGCTTGTGTCTGTATTTAAAATCACCACTCTTAGAACTAATCCAGAAGTGGGATTCCTTTACTCCCTAAAAAAATGAATCTAAATCCAAACTGCACTGACTTAAGCCTGACTTAAGTGCAAGGTTCCTGCTAGGTGGGAATGGGCCCGTTCCAGGTGGGAATGTGCCCCTCCCTGGCACCAGGAATCCACAGGGCTGGGCTCAGGTTTCTTGTGGGTGCAAGAAATTCCAAGAGAAACTCATTTGCAGCATTCCCAGCTCCCCATGTCCATAATTAAAACATGCAAATGAGGGCTACACTTTCCTGTCATGGATAAATAATGATGTTTCCTCACCTCTGGGAGCAGCAGGACGCTGTCTCTGGAGGGCAGCACTGACACTGCACTGACTGAAAGCACTTCCCCATAAAAGGTGCTAAAACTTCATGGAAATTCAAGATTTTATTTCAAAAACAGTCATGAACTTAATAAATTACACAATAATTTCCCTCATTATAAATTCTCCATAAAATATATTTTACAGTTTTTAAAGAAAAACATGGAAAAAAGGAAAAAAAATCTTTCCCAAGTGCTGAGAAGTGTCTTGACTTCGTGTCACGCTGGTGAACGACCCCGCAGCTGCTACAACATCTTGATTTGTTTTCTCAAAACAAAGACCTCAGACAACAAAATAAAATAAAAATCAAAGAGAACACAGAGCTCGAGGACTAGCAGTGTCACCCAACAGCGAGGATAAGCACCATGAGAGGGATTTCAGGTACCCCCAACCTATAAAGTGGCAATCAGTGCAAAGAAACACTTTGGGAGTCAAAAAAAAAAAACCCAAAACTTCCCTCAGTGGAACCCTGCAGAGGGACTCGGGGGGTTCCCAGAGCACCTCGGAGGGGAGCAGCGCTGCTCTGCTTGTGATTTTGGGGTGGGTGAGAGAGGGGAACGCTCACCCCCTCATTTTTAAAAAGCTCCCGAGTTTAATGTGAATTGTAAACCCCCTTTTTTTCAAGTTTTTCTCACCCTGCTGAGATGTGAGAACTGGGAGGCAGAGTTGGCACCAGCGAAGTGTGTTTGTCTGAGGATCACTCCCTAAAATGATGAAGTGAAAGAAAAGTAACAAGAATTAAAAGAAACAGCCACCAGCTCACACAGCACCAGGTAAGAACCACCTGTAAAGCCTCAGAAGTTGAGTGGAATCAGAATCCTTTGCTTTTGGAAAAACAAAAATCGTGTTTTGTTTATTTGCACTCAAAGAATTAAACACTGAGTGCCCAGAACAGCTGTCCCAGCACTAAGAGGGAACAGTATTCAAAAAGCAAATTATACAAGGAAATACTTAAAGCCATTTTCAGGCAAGATTTGGGTGGGGGAAATAATTAAATTGAATTTTTTTTTTAAAGAAAACTGGCCTTTCCTGTAGCTTAAAAGGCAATTTCAAGACTCTGCTTTTTTCCCAAAAGGTCAAACTGAATGGAAAAGGTGGGTCCTGCACCCAGAAGAACAAAATGTTGTGCTGCTCCAAAGAGCTGCTGTCAGCTCTGCAGTGTCAGGTGGCCTCAGTGAAACCTCTCCCAGCCTCAATCTGCAGCCAGAGCTGGGGATAAGCAGGGGATAACCCCCCCGCTTCCTCCCATCTGTGCTTTTAAATAAGCATCACTTCTTTAAAAAGAGGAGAAATTAAAGAAAATCAAGCCAGGCTGCCACCTTTGACAGAGCTGTCACTGAGCTTTCTCCCAGCTCTGACACCAGGTGTGACAGGGCCACCTCTGTCCCCACTGCCTTTGGGGCAGTGCCAGGGAGGAAAGGCCCAGTGACTATTGGGATTATTAGTCAGTGGGAAAACTGTGCTGCCACCACATTTTGAAGGATTTCAAGAATATGCTGCTGGATTCCCTCATCTGTGTTTCCATAAAGTGAGGGCATGGAATTCTGCTGGGATAAATCCTCAAGGTGCTATGGGATTATGGACACCAGGGCAGAGAGCATGTTGAGAAAAGGCAGATTAATTGATCAAAAAAAAAAAAAAAAAGCAAAATCAAATGATCAATGATCCAGGCCCCCTGCCAGCACCTGCCTGTACATTTTTAATTTGACTCCCTCAGTGATGAGCTCATTAAGCTCTAAGTGCTAAGATCAGCCACGTTAGCACTTTGAAAGCAGCTGATCCCCTTGCATTGCTTTTTTTGTTTTGTTTACAAAGTCAAGTCTTTGAAATTAGATAACAAAAATAAATAATAAAGTCATTCAGGCCTGGGGAAGAAGGAGCTTTTCTCACTCACCTTCTTCACCCAGATTTCTAGCAGACCCCAATCATCCAGACCCACAGCAAATAATTTAAGTGCCACACACTCCCAGTCACTCATATACATAAATATATACACAGATTACATTACAAAGCCTCAAGATTTGCACTGCCAGCATGCAAATCTTTTTTTTTTTTTTTTTCCATGAGAGTTCCTAATACTGACATAGGAAACTGGAATGTGTGAGGCACTCCGTGACAGAGTGCTGGAAATCAAGTAGTGTTGGCTCTCTCAACATCCCCCTGCCAGCGCACACCAAGGAACAGCCTCAGGTCTCACTCTGGGATTTCACACGGTTGGCCAGCTCAGCATTCCTGTGGGGAATCTCCAGTTGGGTGAAAAATCCCCCTGCAGGTGAGCTCGGGCTCTGCCTGCAGCTGTCACCGAGCCCCTCACGTGTCCCAGCTGCTGTCCTTGAAGGCGATGTTGACCAGTCTGAGCTCCAGCTCGAAGGCATCTGGCCGGTCCTGCGGGTTGGCCGCCAGCATCTCCTTGATCAGCTGCTTCATGCGAGCGTTCATGGACTTCTTCTTCACGGGGATGAGCAGCTCCATCTTGGGGTTCTCCAGCAGCGCCTCGCCCACGGGCACGATGGCCGTGCCCTGCTTCACGTAACTGCCCAGCAGCTCCTTCTTGGTCTCGGTGTCGATGAAGGTGATCCTCTCCAGCATGGCCCAGATGATGATGCCCAGGGCAAAGATGTCAGCCTTGGCCGTGTAGTGGCCCTCCCACACCTCGGGGGCCATGTAGAAGTCGGTGCCGCAGGCGGTGGACAGGAAACACTTGTTGACGTTGACCGGCTCCTCGGGGTTCTGCCCCGAGGCCGAGCACACCTTGCTGAGCCCAAAATCCGCCACTTTGAGGGTGGGCTCGGGGTCGCTGGCGTCCGCCCTGCCCTGGGAGATGAGGATGTTGTCGGGTTTGAGGTCCCGATGGATGATCTGGTTTTTGTGCAGGAAGGCCAGGGCGCTGCTGAGCTGCAGCATGAAGCTGGTGTTGGTCCTGCGGTTGGGCTTGCGGGACAGCAGGTACTCGTTCATGTCTCCTCCGTCACAGAAATCCATCACAAACCACAGGTAATAAGCACTTTTGGGGTCAAAGGCTATTTCTCCTTTTAATGAGGTTTCTACAAGCTGCAACGAGGAAAAGGAATGTCGTAACTACCTGGTGGGCATGAGAAGGAAAGGATATGATGGAATAATGCATGGAATCAGGATCTCCATGGAGAGGGGAAATGTGGGTTAGTTACACAGAAGGAATTCTTCCCTGTGGGGCCCCGTGAGGCCCCAGCACAGGCTGCCCCTGGATTCCTGCAAGTGTCCAAGGCCAGGCTGGAGCAGCCTGGGACAGAGGAAGGTGTCCCCGCCCATGAGAATGAGATGGGGTTTAAGGTCCCTCCCAACCCAGACCATTCTAGGAGTGTTTGACCCTCCTCTCAACAATCCAGAGAGCAAGATATTGCAACGGGGGAAAGAAAACATTATGCAAATGTTTTTAAGAGAAAAAAAAATTAAATAAAAAATCACAATATATTTGCCAGCCTCCTTATCTTCACTCGTATGGAGCATATCAAGCTCAGGCTCCTGCCCAGAAGCAGAGCTCGACCCTGATAACAGAATTTTTAAAGATACCCAATGGCCATTGCCCTGCCATCTGTCCCAGCTGGACAGTGTCCCACCCCGACAAAGCCTGTCCCACCCACTTTGCCAACAGCTTTTTGGGATAAACAAAGTCTCACAAGTAACTCCACGCAGCTGAGCTTATCCATGAGAGATTTTTAAAGCCTGGTCTCCATTCCTGACACATTAATGAATTCCAGCAAGTTAACACAGGATCCCTGAACTCAGGAGAACACTGATCTGCAGGCACAGCTGAGCACGGAACACCCTTCCCACCGTCATTATCCACATGGTATTTTCAGGAACACAAGTTGAACAGCCAGTTCTTACAGCTGCTTCACACAGAAAGCAAAGTAAAACCTGCAATCACTTCTACTAATCCTGTTGACACAACTGCATTTGCCTCTTCAGCTCCTCTGAGGTGGCTCTGGAAGGAAAGTCCTGCAATTATTAAACCAATGGATGCTAAATCAAACTGGCTTTCAAAAATTAAGGGGTGTGTTAATATCTAGAGAGGCATTTTGAAATGCTTTCATAAAGTGACCTTTTCAAGAAAAAAACCCCAGTAATTTACAGCTATCTTCCCAGACCAATTTAAACAGTAAATCTATTTTAGAGCTAAAAAATGCTTTATTTAGGGTTTGAAGGGTGAGATTAAGGTATCTCAGGAGAGCAGGGAGCCTCCTCTGCCAAGAGGACACCAACAGGAGTCACAGGAGCTGCACTTGCAGACGTTGTGAGAGTACAACACAATCCACCCCCACACATGTGTGACAGTGGCAAAGCACCAGCAGACAAGGCTGACTCAGGACTCAAACTCTACAGATTTGCTTCAGCTGGCACTGAGAATCTGCCCCAGAGCCCTTCAGGGGTGGGTGACAGCCCCTCCTCAGCCTCCTCACACACAGTAACAGCTCAGCTCTGTAAATTCACCTGGGAGAGGCTGAGCTAAGCCTAGGGGGCTGACTGTCCTCAGTTTAGCCCAGGCTGCTACAAAGCGACCCCTCAGTCAGCTCAGCTCTGCCCTTTGCTCTTCTCCCTGGAGCAGCCAAACAATCCGTGCTGTTTGCCCCTGGCAGGGGCCAGATCCCTGTGCCAGCTGATCCCCAGCACCACCATCCCAGCCAGAGCTGGAAGCTCTTCCCCACCTTGCAGCTCTACCCCAGGGCCTCTGAAGCTCCTCCCTGCACATCTGCCCTCCAGCAGAGTGGCAGCTCCACTGAAACCAGGAAGGTAAGCTCCGACTTCTCCCCCATGAGCTGGCCGGTATTATTTTAGCCTAATCCTTCCATGAAAGCACGTCAGGAACAGCTCCCAAGCCAGAGGGAGTTGGCAAAGCCGAGAATCCTGGTTCTCAGGCTCAGACAGGGCTGTTCACCAACAAAGGGTCCAAGCAGACAGCAGGAATGACAATGAAAACTGAAATAATGAGAGCTGACTAGGGATAACACAGCAAACACTGAGCAGGCTGCTGGCTTTTTAAACCAGAAACACAAATTTCTGCCCAGGGGTGATTTATACTTGGGGCTGCTTCTTGACAAGGGAATTAACTAGATTGTCTTTCAATGTCTTTCCAGAGCTACTTATTCTTCAAACATACACATCTTCAAACTTAAAGGACACTTTCAGAGTGGTATGTATTCCCTTAATTATACCTTTACCACTCTTTGAAGAGATTAATGGTTATTTATTAAAAGATAAAACCAGCTCATGGTGTTCTACCAATTGATTCTTGTTTCTGAAAGAATTTTAAGTGTTGGCTTCCAAGACACTGATTTCCTCTTCCAAGGACACCCAGGATGGAATTCCTCCAAGCTCTGTCCCAGGACAGGAGCGCTCTTTAATCTGCAGCTGCCAAGAACTCCACAGCTTGCACCTCCCCTGGGCTTCACCTGCAGGGCTTCCTCAAATTATCAAAGCAGATTTGCATTAAATACAAATTCTGGAGTCTTTTAGAGCAGCACAGCTTCAAACCCAAGATCCAGGTGATTGTTCCTTTTTTTTTTTTTTTTTTAAATAAAGATCTCTGTTAAATTCTGGCTGTCAGCAAAGCAAACAATCCCCTGGCCTAACTGAGCACAGCTCAAACCCTGCCCCACCTCCTTCCCCCCAGCTCCACATCGTCACCGATTCCTTCCACCCCGTTCCCTCGGCCTCGTGTACCTGTAAATACAGGGAGGAGCTGGAGCCATGGGACATCTTCTGCACCATGCCATCTTTCTGCAAGATGCACTCCTCCAGGTGAATGACGTTGGGGTGCTGGCTCTTGATACTGCTAAGGGCCCAGAACTCGCGCAGAGCCAGTTCCACGTTCTCGGGAGCGTGGCACCGGATCTTTTTCACAGCCACGCGGGCACAGGTCCTCCTGACGACCGCTTCGTACACCACACCATAACTGCCACGACCAACCTCCCGAATTAGATCGTACTTAGGCTGGCTACTCACCATCTTCAAGAGCAAAGGTTCTGGGGAAGGGGGAAAAACCCACAGAACTAAAACTTAGGCACAGGAACCGGGCTGTATTTTCCCCCCTAGGGGCTGGCGTGGCGGCGCTGGGCCTGCCCAGACCCCGCTGTTAACGGGGGTTCAGTGCTAGAACATTCCAGAAGCGCCTCCATAAACCTGCACCTGTTGCCACGGACCAGGTGAAAGTGAAATTACATCTTTTCCTTAAGATTTCCAACACAGCCCGGCGTGTTCAAGGTGGCAACAATTCAAACCTAGACTGGTATGGTGCCGAGACAGGACTATCGAGAACGCTCCTGCTCCTCTCCCTCAGTGTCTTCCGTGAGCATCTGCAGGAATAACAGGAGGGTGTCATGCTCCCCATCCAGCCTGGAGAGCACGGGAGGTCCCAGCTGAAGCCCCTGGCTGGGCAGTAACAGGTTTTAATTAACTGCCTTTTTGTGGAGGTGACTGCAGGAGCAAATGTTTCTGTTATAATTACGTTGTTTTACTCGGAGAAAAGAAAGCTTCAATCGCTCTGGGTTTATTTTTTGAGGTGACTGATTTTTCACCAAGCCTCCTCCGCATGAGGAATCTACAGCTATGAAAGGTTAAAAAGGATAACTGATTGCAGAAGTTTGCACCCAGCATCTAACTTTCACTTTTGCTCAACAGAGCAAGGACAAAAGTTAAGTTATTGCTCTGAAAGTAAAACAAGAGAGACACACACACACACACAAAAAAAAAAAGAAGGGAAAAAAAAAAAAAAGCCACCAAACCCTGCTGCAGATTTATGACCCTCCCTGCACGCTGCCCTACGAGATTACCAACCAAACACCAGCACCACCTTCACACAACCAAACCAAAACGGGACACTGACTAGAGACAGCAATAAATTAAAATAAAAAAAAAAAAATAAAAGCTTGACTAGCCAAGGATCACTGGTCAAACAGAACGAAACGCAAAACCAAAAGTAAATAAATAAATAAAATCACACTGATAGATGAGAACTACAATAGCTTTAAGCCAGCCAGTGATAAAGGAAATTCTCTTTATGTCAGGCAATAAGGACCACATTGAAACGGCCTGTTATTAGTAGGAAGATTTCAAGTATTTCCACTACTTTAGGCAATATTTTTTTTTTTAAGGAAAAAAAAGGAAAAAAAAAAGAAAAAGAGAGAGAAAAAAGGTATCATCAGTCTCAGGTAATGCTACGGAGATATTTTAACCTTTCAGCAAAGCTGTGCGATGGGCTTTTGCAGTAAGGTTTTGAACCCAGATGTGAGGTGTGTGAGAAACGCATTAGCAGGAGAATCCCTCGGGGCTGGGCCGAGGCTGCACCTGTGGCAGGGCTGCAGCTCCGGCTCAGAGCCTCAACACGGATCCCATGGGCCAACAAGGGCAGGAGCCGCGATTTCCCCAGCGGCCAAACAACTCCGGGGGCAAACATTGCGCTGCGTTCCTCAAACACGGGCACAGCGGGTTCCAAGCGGGCACAAAAGGTGTTCCCGTGTCTGGAGCTGCCACCGCGCCGAGCGCCGGGGGCTGCCCGAGGGCTGCGGGGCCCGGCCGGGAGGACACCGGCCCGGGGCCGCCGCTCGCTCCTACG